GTATATATATATATATATATATATATATATATATATACATATATACATACAGTGTTGCTGGTGACAGTCATCACACACATCCACCTCACGTATTCATTCCCTTTCTCTCCCTCCCTCCCACATCTACACCCATCGCCACTAGAAACAAGCTTGTGAGAATCGTCCTTAAGTTTTTCCCTCTATTATTATTATAGGGAGCAAACACATTCGGCCTCTTGCGTATATATTTACATCTCAAAGATACTAGGGTCATCGAAGTTAATCTCGATACTACCACGCGAGGCCTTTGCTGTGATTCCACCAGTTAAATCTTCCTCGTCTTCACCGTAAATTCCATCCAGACGGCATGGAGTGCGGGTGCTCTCCACAAACTCTAAACAACAACTGTTCACTACAAAAACACTTCGAGCCCCCGCGGCCAATTCAATCTCAGTGCAAGGGGCAAGAATACCCAGAAACCCCCCACAACATTGGCAGTGTACCTGTAGCTCTAACAACCCACTCTTTTGTGCTGAAGATGAAATTGGGGCCGCAATGCTGCCAACTCGCACCTCCACAGCTTGTGTATTCATTCGAGAAAATGCTGCTATTCCACGCACCAAGTAAAGGATCTGGTAGGTTGGCGCTACAAGAGGTACATGACAGCGAATGCAGGCATAATAACCTGAAAAGTTTTTTGCAACCCCCTTTAAAGGGCGTGCCCAAAGATCTGTGGTGAAGGGATCTTCCATTCGGTCTCCCTGTAGCACATCCAGTATCTGTTGGGACAAATTGTGGTTCCAAGTCTCACTATTTTTGTACTTCTCCAAGAAAACGACTTCCTTTTCCTCGTTTGCGCCGGTGATCGCCGCATAAGAGGTGGTGGATTTGGCGATTCCTGCGCCGGAAGCGTGATCCCATAAGAGGGAAATGCCCTCAAAAAGACTGCCCTGAGACACCATCGAGTTTCGGGCGATCTTTTGAATTCCGATGCCCTGTGATGCTGTGTCTGAACCAGGAAGGGATGATCCTTTTTCACGCAGTGAAGAGTTTTTCTCTTGTACGGCGTTATTCTTTGACCTGACCTGAATCCCAGCAGACTGGGGCTTGGCCGGCGTGCGGTGCATAAGTGGCTTCGCACTGTCACACCTGGCTTTGCTGGCACTAAGGTTAGTAGTGCTGATGGTGTGGCTGCCTCTACCACCCTCCAATTTTGCTGTTGACACAAATCTCGACGAGGCGTGAGACTGAGTGTCCTGTGCGCTTGAGTACAAACGGACAGTGGAGGCGGTGGGACGGGCAGGCACGGAAGTTCGTTGGTGACTTGGTGGCTTCGGTGTGATGTTCGTGGCTCGTGCATCAATTGGCGTCAATCGCTGCCCTGCCACACGGTTCCTCCGCTTCAACTCCGCAATCACTGGGTGCATTTTCTGTATAGTGAGGGAACTTCCTACTACACTGTCACGGCAAAACAGAAGGCAGGTAAGTGGGCGCGCAGAAACACAGCTGCATCCTCACGCAACATCCGAAAAGCACACAAGGTGCACAGAATGCAGACAAAATACACACACGCACACCCACACGCACACGCACGCAGTAGTACCTCGCAGACCCCAAAAAACAAAAACAAAAAAAAATACAAGCGCCTTGAAGCATCCGGGGGTTGTTGCAGCGTGAAGGGAGGCAAACACACAGTACGCAGATTCTGTTTCCCACAGGCGTGGCTTGTATAAATATATATTTTTGTTTGAGTAGGGGAGTGACACAAATGACTGTGGAGGAAGAGCAGTGCTGTCTGTGATAGGCAACGTGCAGACTCACACATCCGCTTTTCATCCCTGTAGTTCACATAAAAGAAAAGACAAGAGAACCACAACAAAAACACGACAATTCCACGTAGCAGCAAACCCTAAAGAACAATAAGTGATTGGAGTAAGTAACAACGAGCTATTCCAATACACATGTGCAAGCATAATGAAGAGAATACGCATCCGATTGATAAACTTTTCACTTATATTTCCTTCCCACTGTTTTTCCTTCTGTTCGCTTGAATTCCCTTCTCTCTCGAATGGAAACTTTTGAAAAAAAAGAAGAAAAAAAACAAAAAGAAACAAAAGAAAAGAAGAATGCGCAAACAAAAAATTCTCTCAACCACTTGTAGTTATCTCTTCCCAGCTCACGTGTACGCACGTACGTGGGTTTGCATCCTCACACTCCGTGCACTCCTCAGCGCTCATGCCTCATCATTCCCACCCCCCTCCTCTTTTTATTTGTTTGTGTGTTTTGTTTTTACTGTTCGTCCCTAATTATTGTTGCCATTGCCGGTGAAGAACACAAACATAACGATCACAATGAAGAACACTGCCACGCCGCCAATAATAAGTTTCCCTTTCATGGAGTTCCACCAGAGCTGCTGGCGAAGATCGCGGCTGCTACGCTGAAAGCCCTGGGCCTGAAATTGAAGATCCTCCGTGGACTGAACAATGTCGTCAATCCGCTGTCCCCGCTGAATCACGCGCTCCACGTTGTCCAGTGCAAGGTCCTTAACCTCCGCCACGGCGATCTTAACCTTCCGCACCTTGTCCTCCGGCTCCTCCGACCCACTCATGCGAAGAAGTAGGTCACGGTAGGGCTTCACAAACACGTCCACCATCTTCGTGTTTAGCTTCGACACACTCTCCACAAACATTTTGCGAAACGTCTTCGCCGCCTCGTCCAGTGCGGCGTGGCCCTGACGCCGGGCGACGGCCTTGTCAGCGAGAATGGCGAAGGCCAGCTCGCTATCGGTCATGATATGGTACGAAAGCTGTGTGGGCCCCTCCGCCGTCGTGGCCGCCGTCGCCGCTGCGTCCTCGCTTTGAAGGGAAATGAAGGATGAGGTGCGGAAGTTGGGCGCAGCGCATTTGCTCACGACCTCTGCCCACACGGTTCCTGGAATGGAGAAGTCATTGGTCGGGCACCCGGGGGCTTTGCACAGCATCAGCCGGTCACTCAGGCGAACCACAACGCCGCCGTATATCTTTGTCTCGTTCAGCATTTAGTGCTTTGGTGGGGTGCTCCGTTCTCCTACGTAAGTGGATATAATGTGCAAAAACAAATCTTCCACACGTGTGTGTGTTTGTGTGCCAGGCAGGGAGGTATCCCCCCCGAGCCGCGGCAAGGAGAAAAAAGGAAGTCCAACAACGAGAGGCTCTCGCAAGAGGTGCCGCAGGGGTCACACGCACAAAAACTGTCAGCGGCAACTCTACACACCCAGGCGCCCAGACACGCACTGATGCAAAAAGCAGAAGACCCCTCAAGTGAGATTTTTTGTCTGATATACGCGCAAACAGCAGAAAAAAATCGTTTTCTTTGCTTTTGTTAACCACTTTCCCTCCGATCTTTCGTTGTTGTCGACTTTAATCCAAAGCGGACTCATCACTGCAACCGATGCGGAATGAATACTGCTGCTGCTATGACTGACATCAACACACAAAGGCACTGACAACAACGACGACGATGATGATCGTGGCTGATGGAGCAGGAACAGCCCCAGCAGTAACTGTGGCCAAAACAATGACGACAATAATGGTAATAACAATAATAATAATAAAAACAAAAAAAAATGTTAAGGGGCAACACACACACACACACACACACATACACACAGTCCTGGCTTCGTTCAGTGAACAATAAAGACTCTAGCCTGGACTCCAAACTGTATTTTTGTTTTTGTTTTTATTTCATTGTTTTCCTCCTTCCAGCTTGTCTCTCACTGTGACTTTCTTTCTTTTTGTTCCTTCTTTTTTTTTTGTTGTTATATATATATATATATATATCTACCTTGCTTGTATTCTTTACTGTTGCTGTTTTTATTGTGGGTTCCATAGATATTATATTAAATTGGTGCCGTATTCATGTATGTATGCAAACAAATATGTATATAAGTAATACAGACCCACAACGTGTATGCACCCTGCTTCTTATTCCAATCTCCCCCCAATAGTTCGTTTTATTTGCCTTTTACAAGTTACTCACGTATGCCCTCCATCCTCGCACACGGGGCTACGCACGAATGCAGCTGTGTACATGCGTGCATGAAAAGCAACTATGCACTGGTGTATGTATGAATACGTTTTGAGGTAAAACCGGGCAGGTAAAGGAGACTACGCCACAAGAACAAAAAGAAAAACAAACAAACATACAAAAAAAAGAAGAGAAAGAGAGAAGGTAATACTCACAAAAAAAAGAAAGAAGAAGAGGAAAGAAAAAGGTAAATAAAAGAAAAAAATAACCAACACAATGAAGATTGAACTAAAGTACGCCACAACGTCAGTTGCGTTCCCGGGTATAGTAACCGCTGGCGGCAGCATTAACGATAGAACGAGTAGTAGATGTATTGGGTAGGTGCTCCTCGTTCCAATCGCCTGCATCACTCCTCTCCTCCTTCTGGTGGGCGCTGCTCACGTGACTGCAGAGGCGCAGCCATTCCCTGGGGAGGAACGACGTTCGCACGGCACAGCGGGCACTCCAAGTGCTCAGCAAGCCAATGCTTAATACAGTCCTTGTGAAAGCAGTGCCGGCATGGCAACACCACAACAGGGCCATTTGACCCAATAACGCTTTCCAGGCAGATGGCGCAAGAAGAAGTAAGAAAGGCCTCTGGGTATTCACAACGATCACCCTCTTGCAGCCCATTCGGGAGTGTCTCAAACGAATCCATCAGCTCATCAACAGAGTAGCGTGGGCGGGAACGCATCTCTGGCGCCCCAGTTAGAGAAAAACTAATCACTATGTGATCGTGCGGGTTGCCTGTAAATAAGCGAGGCAACAATGGAAGGAGGTCCTCCAAGAAATTTCCAGACGCCTGCTCCTGCTGCTCTTGCAACTGCACCTGTTGCGCGCGCACAATGGCTTGAAGTTCGCGGTATTGCCGCTCGTTCTGCACAACCTCAATGAGGGGCGAGTGGCAGACCGCACAGCTCGTGGCGGCATCATTCACCTCTTGCTGATTGTAAAATCGCTGACATACGTGACAGAAGTACATGTCTTACGCGGCGCAGCGGGTAGTGTAATAAAAGAGAAACACTCAAGAGAAAAAAAAAATAAAGAAAAAAAAATAAAGGACGATATTGAAGCTGAGAGAACCGCTCTACTTCACCGACAGACAAACACCCACACCCACAAGAGCAGGGGATAACTCACGCAATAAAAAACAAACACACACACACACACACGCAAAGAAAGATAAGCATGCTGGTGGGGAAGGCATTTGCTGTCGCAGACACGGGCGTATGCCTGTGCGCAACGTCTTCTCGACTTGAATCCAAAATGTACCGCGACCAAAGAGGAATTCACAAAAAAAAAATCTAGACAAACTGCTGCCCCCTCTCCC